GGTTCGGTCACCAGAAAAGTAAAATATAGTGGACAGAAAGAAGAAGAATGTTCTGGATAGATGATCCCTTCCTACCTATTTCCCTGGTTTCCTGTGTGCGTTGCCAGAATCTTCTGAGACGTGGGACCAGTTTTGGCCATCACATTCAAGGTGCCCATGGTGCGTCCGTACATGTGATACCAATACGAGACACAGTGACCGGTCGTGGGTTTTTGAGGCTGACCCACAAGGAGAAGTTTGTCTCCCGGTTTGTTGGGCGAGGAAGCTTCGGCATACATGTAGTGGCCTGAGGAGAAAGGGGAGGAATTACAGCGTTGAAATGGGCGTTAATTCTATACAATTACCAAGATCAGATACGATGAAATAGGATAAGATAAGATAAGATCAAATGTTACTGATTTCTGCAAAGAGAAATTTGCTGTCACACGGTAAATACATACATGCACATATATACGCATCAACACACACATACATACGCACATGCACACACATGCACACACGCACAAACACACACACAAACACACACACACACACAAACACACACACACACACACACACACACACACACACATTCACATCCATATTTACACACACAGATGTACACACACACATGAATAGTCATTGGATAAACTGACATTATAATTCTCCACTATCTGAGATAGCATTAGTTATTTTATGGTAAAGGTACAACCAGGCCCTTTGTTTCAAATTTGTTGAACCTTGTATACAACATCCACGATCATGAACTTTTTTCAAAGTCGGGCAACCCCCCGATGAGGTGCTACTGACTAAAGTGTCTTTAGGCCATTCCCAAATGGGGACATTAACAACGTTCTTATGCACAGTAGAATTGTAATTGTAAATTCGCTGATTCTCAATATCATGCCCATAACTGCCTGAACTGCAACAGGGAACTGCTGTTTTTTCTTTCCTAATCTTTACCATTGTCATTTTCCTCTACTTCTTTTGTATGTTTGTCACACTCTTGTGACCTGCTATTTTCGGGGTGCCTTGATAGTCGAAGCAGACCTTGTGCTGTTGAAGCTAGAGATGTGAGCAGAGAAAGTCTGATTCCCTGTAAGGACTTCTCTGTAAGCATCCACCCCTTGGCGATCATATAACCTCGTGCAGTTTGCAAGTGCTGTAAAGCCTCTACTAAAACAAAGTGGGCTGGGAAACTGAGAAAATACCTAAATAAATCACAGATCGTTTCTTTTTTCATGAAATCAAAACTACAGAAGGTGCCCGAACCAAGCTAGACTTTCACCAACCTGCTAATGTTCCGTAGGTGTGGTCGTTGGTTGGTCCGGTGCCCACTGAAGATGTTGTGCGTTGATACCGACGCCAAAAGCGAGAGGTGGAAGAGTAGCCGCAGGTGTCTGTCTCAAAGTTGCAGCGATCTACCAAAGTGTCAGAACCTGAAACACACAGAAATAACATGAAGAATGAGCAATATAAATTATATA